CCCACGAAGTTTTCCCACCCCATCGACGCAACATCATTTCTCCGTTAGGGTAGCGGTCTTCCCAAATACCGTCTTACGGGAGTGATTTACCACCACGGCAAAAATGCGAGCGGCGGCCACTACACAGTTGATGTTCGCAGGCAAGATGGTCGCGAATGGATCCGCCTCGATGATACCTCTATCCACCGCGTCAGGAGCGAGGAAGTCGCGAATGCTGGAAGTGAGGAAGACCCCAAGGTTCTTGCTGCTGCCCTTGAGCAGCATAGGCTGGCAGATAATCCAGCGCAAGGCAATATCTTCGAACAATTCGATATGGAGCACCTGGCGCAGCAGGAAAATGAACAGGGATGGAGCCATGTCAACGGGCAAACAAGCGGCAGTGGTAGTGGCCATGCAAGCAAGAAGTCCATGGCTGCTGTTGTCAATGGAACCACTTCGCCGTCGGCAGAGTCTTCGTCTGGCAAGCGGACGCCAAGTAGTAGTCGATTTGGGGCTGGAGTTCGTGAGAACAAGGTTGCCTATCTCCTCTTCTACCAGAAGATCTAGAGATCGACAACATAACACCTCAATCGTGCCTTCCCGGCCCTTTAAAGCCCAATCCTCAAACTACTCGACCCCACATCCTCCACACCTACCATATATCTCACTCATCCCTCCACCCTAACTAGCTAATCCCTTCCTCCCGCCCTCCCCCCTTCTCCTTAAGCTCTTCTTTTTCATCAATTATTTGCCTCCATCCATCTCGATACTTATTTATATGAGCCAATCCCCAAGCAGCGCACACATCCTACGTAGGTAATGAATATGATTTCGTATTACATCCTAAATGTTGATGCCGATGATGGTGATGACAATGTTGATTGGGGGAACTTCGTCGTATATTGATTGGGTGTTGTCTGATGAAAGCAAGAGACAAGGGGAAAGAAGAGAAGCAAATGGAACGCATAATATGATATATACTTTTATTTTTGCTCCCTAAAATTTATACATAATTTTCCTGCTCTAACTTACTGCTTTTGTGTATTGCTTTTCCTAATGAACTAACATGTAAATGTTGTTGATTGGCAACAGATATGGAGGCAGATGCATATTGCAATGCTTTTTGTGTTGGACACATACATACTCCTTGCATCTCTCAGCCTTTCTGGACCCTCTGAATTGTATCTGGGTATATACATAATACTAAGTACCTTTTGATTGTTTTTTTTGGTAAAAATTGGACAGACATTCATTAGATTACGAAAAAGTTACATATATACCATACATACAGCAGACACACAGCAAGAAAATGGGAAAAAAGAAGAACGTGAAAAAAAAAAAAAAAAAAAAAAAAAAAAAAAAAAAAAAAAAAAAAGGAATAATTATTGACAAGAGCGAGACTCGAACTCACGCGGGTTTCCCCATACCGGATCAGGAAGTTCTCCCAAAGAGGGGAACTTTCCAAGTGTTCACGTGACAGCTTGAACGGTACGCCTTAACCACTCGGCCATCTTGTCACAGATTTTATTGGGCAAGGGCGCAAACAATACGGTATTTCTTTGCGACGGGCAGCGGCTGACGAAAAATTTCTGGATTTACTCTGGTAACTTTTTTTTTTGTCAAGCTTGATAAAGGGAAAGACGGCACAGGCCGCGTATAAATATATGCTTTGAAGGGATCTTGGAGACGTCGATCCCTCGACAGATGGTGTGGGAAGCAAAAATTGCTACAACCATAGAAGCACACACACACAGCCCCCGCATTCGAAACATACTTCCGCGCATTCGAAACATACTTGCTCGATCATAAAAACCACAAGGAGGGAAGGGAGGGAAACCAGCGCCGCAAGCTTATTCAAGATGCAAAACAGCTAGCTATACAGCAAACCTCTCCGGTAAGAGAGAGGGGAGATGAGCTTGATCCCATGACGCTTCACCCAACTTATGCGCAATCACTTCCAGCCAGCATAGTCAGCGGCTTTCTCACGAGGAATGGTTGCTTCCCAGGCACTTGAAAAGTCCAATATTCTCTAACTTAGAAATTTAGAAAATAGATTATGCATCAATTTTTTAGAGGAATGATAGATAATATCCGCGAAGTGTCTCTGGGTGCGGGCCTCATATTCTGATCACGGGTCGCTTGTAACAAGAGACATAGTAAGGTCGGCGGTGGGAGGAGATTGACGATTAGTTTCCGGAAAGGGTGTCAATGATGCTGCCTAGGATCTTGCCATTGATTCCGCAGAGTCCAAGTATCGAGACATCGGGACGATGCCACCCTGGGAGACTAAGTTGTGGGGTCGATAGTTGGAGAGAGGAGGCTCCACCAGCAAGACACATCAACGAGCCATCTGTTGCTGTACCAATAGAGATCAGTGCGCAGATAGCGGGGACAGCGGCCACCAGTACATATAAAAAACCCTGAGGGCGTTTGTTTATATAAAAAGTGATCTGGGAAGTTCGTTTAGAACCTTCCAACGGAGCAACAATGACTAAATAGAAAGTACTATCCACAGGCAGTATGGCCGCCATTGGAATGACATAGATGGACGCTTCTCTGGGCATAGATAAGCTGTGTTTGTGGCGCTAAATATAGACCATCCTGGCGACATGTCTGATTGTAAGTGGAATCTCAATTCCCTCGAGGCTCTGCCCCGATCAAACCAATATAACTTGGGCGAGATATGTCTATTATTGTGAATACCAAACTATTAGCGAAATGGTATCCCTGAGCTCTGATTTTTATTTTCGAGGGGACGATGCAATATATATATTTATAGTTCTCTCATGGGGGGCTCAAACCATTTGGATATTTTATCGTTTTTGACAATTTTAGCACCCTTGCGACTGGCCGCGAAGAACCGTAATCCCAAAAGCGGCGTCTAGACCAATGCATGGATGTTGCAGAGCCTCTGGATTGAGCATATCCGCCGGCCAGAATATTCACACGCCTTAGTAGTAACGTGTATCGGCGTTGAAGGCCAGTCGCCCGGGCCCCAAGTCCATCCGCCCGCTGCAAAATGTCGCTCGTGGTGGTTTGGAACACGGCATGCAGGTAAGCACCGTTTTTTTCTCAATCTGTTCGAGGTATGCACCCTCTAGAGGTCAGTCGTACATCCGCATGCGAGATGAACTTGGAGAGCCTTGTCGGAGGCCAAGGGGCAATGAGCAGACTATGATCAATTCCACGCTCGGAGGAGCAAGATCGAGACGTAACCGCTGTCGAGAAGCGGGTGCAGATTCAACACCCCAGAGGATCTCTTCCAACAGCTTAGTATCAATCTGATGGATATTTGAATGTTTCTGTATTATTTTCTGCAAGCGATGGACGCCTTGGGGATCCTTTTACGCCTCTGTATGTGCTTATTGGCTGTTAGTCCTGTTGATTGCCCAAACTCTGGTCTGGATTATTTCTGACAGATCGGCAACTCAAGCATCCTTTCGTTGTTTCAGCGAAGCGACGGAGCCGCCTAATACATACTGTACTGCAATGTGCAGTATGTAACCTCATCCAGAGAGAACTTTGCAGAGCATGGGCGAGGCTGGAAAAACAGAAGCCTATCTACGGAGCAGCAACTCTCGAATTCAAAGGTTGCTACAGACAAATGACGATTTTTCACCCAGACCAGTCCATTCATGTCGCGTGAGGAATTGGTGCGATGGACTTACTAGTGGTGAACCAATCCCCCTGACACTAGACATCTGAATCACAGAACGCCCAGGCACTAAAGAGGCCGGTAAAATTGCGATTTCAAGGCTATCTTTGGGAAAGGAGGGAGCGCTGCAAGGGGGGCTTGTTGTTGGTGAGGAGCGGCACACCCGGTTCAGCATCCTGATGGCCTAATTATGTTCAAGAGTTTGCTCTGAACACCACGCTTCGACAAGCATCTTCTGTTCATCACCTTGGGACCTCCTTGCGTCGTCAGTAAGGCAAATAGTAAAATAATATGAGGAATGGCCATCTGCGAATGAAATGGCTGGAGAGCTCCCTCGATTCAAACGTTTCAGGCACATAGCTACTTCCAGCAAACTCTTTTCTGTCTACGGAGTACTTGTCGTTCAACCGACATCCTGCTATATAAATGCTGGAGAACAGAATTGGAAAGGGTTCAAATGATTTCTCCTAACTAGTGGTCAAAAGCACAAACAGAATACATCGTTTGAAACCGCACCAGCATGTCCCATCTAATTGGTTGTTGTACTGTACAACCATCGAGAGATGTGACGAAAAAGGCCCGAGAATTGGGTTCCACGGTGATGCGCGAGCGCCTCTCAGGCAGTTGTACGCACAGGAACAAGGAACGAAAACGAAATTCGTCCCAAGGAACACTCTTGAAGCCTAATTGTAAGTTTGCAGCCCTAACTGGTTCGGCATTTCAGGGACGTGAACTTTTTTGCTCAAAGTCAATCCGCCAACCAGAAAATATCTATGGATCCAAACTTGGTTCGTTGGGAGGATGCATTCGCAGTCTGGCCAGTGGCCAAGTATGAAACGCAGCACACGCTTCAAACTCGCAGCGCGTCAAGCAGGTAGTAAGAGCCCTGGAGGCGGGATAGATTTTCAAGACCCGTATTCCGTAAATTGGCGGCCGGTTGCTCTGCTCTCATTTGCAGGTCGAAAACATGAGAGCCAGTGCTTGACCAACAAGATCAGATCACCAGTAGCGTGCAATCGCCGGGCACCTCCAGGCTAGTCGCTGACCATGAATTCTTGTAGCTACTGAACTGCTTCTCGAACGTACTTGCTGTTGAGGTTGAAGCCTCCTCTCCTCACTTGGTTGATGAAGATTGACAGCGTAGAATCACATTGTACGCAGAACTTCCTGGGAAGCCGAAGAAAAGCATCGGCATTTTGACTGGCTGGTACTCTGTAGATGATGATATTATTATGATTCTTAAATTATTTTTGGACGGTCGCGCGCTGCTTGCTCAGGGACCCGCTCCACTTGGTCCCGCTGGACCGGGCATTTTCGCCCTTTTAATTTTTTTTTTTATGACGACTATTTGAAATAGGTATTCTTCTTCAAGTCCAGGAACAACAATTGGAAAAGCTTCGAATAAATTCTGATCAAAACTTCTCCGTATCGCTGGGGAAAAGTAATGCCAGGAACTGTCAGCGCCGCCAGTCAGAAACAGGCAAAATAGCAGGATCCTCTTAGCCACAGTTTTTGCTTTGTTTTTTACGCTGCCGCCGCCTTGCTCAATCCCGCCTAGTCACGATTATTCCCCTTCCTCGCTGCCCGCCCCCGTGAGTGGCTGCTTGTCTCGTTGCTTCGTCGTTGTCGCTGTCTCCGTCGTTCGCTGCCCAAGTGCCATTCCCATCGAAACCGCATCCACCTCACCGACTGAGAACCAGACGACAATCGCATTCAACCTGCGTTCTGTTCTTTTTGCTCCCTTGCTGTGGGCCGAATTAGTTCGCCTCGCCTCTTCCTTCATCTCCTTCATCGTCGCGTTTTCATTCGGGGGCGGTTGAGTGTGTGGGTAAGTTCTCCCGCCCAACCTCCAGCATTTGTTGTTGGTGGCTGCATTTTTTGCATTTTTCCCGTTCCTGTTCCTGTGCCTGACGGCTTGGAAGGCTCACACCAGGCCCATGCCATCCACGCTCCGCGATACAAGTTTCAGAAACCTGACTTCAAGTTTTGTGGGATCTTTGACAGGTTTGACACCGAAACGGCGACTTCCTCCCACCCCCTTCTGGTGACAACAACAGGGGGAAACGTTCCATCGATCCACGATGGGATCGACTCAATTTGGCAATTTTCTTGTACGGAATCACACCTTTTCTTCTTCTTCTTCTTCTCTTTTTTCTTCTTTTTTTTTCGGATTATTTGTTTCATACGGTCTCTACCAATTTGTTTCTGGTATGTATGCTAACGACGGCTATTTGGATGTTACCAGAAGCTTTGTCGAGACTCGGCTCTCCCAGTTTGCAATGTATGTATTACTTATTGCGCCAGACCGTCCTGCGTCCAATGACCCCGCCCTTGTCAAGATAACACAGCCCTAAGTTAGCAAAGGATGTTACTAACTTCATTATCGATGCGCACAGCTTTTCGTTGCTGATAACCAACCGCCAAATGGGAAATTCGGCGGATGTGCCCTTAGGGGAATCAATCTGAGTGGTGATAGGAACCTGGCGAACCTAGGTACGACATGGGCAAAAGCCTCAGCGACAAACCTTCCTCCCCCTGAAATACCTCTAGATAGCTAGCTAGCTGGACACAGAATCTAACGATAAACCTGCACAGGAGCCATCCTCTTTGCCGTGACGGCCCTATTGCTCAGTGCGTTCTTATTATGGAAATCGGAGCGGAAGAAGGCCGCGGTGGGAAGAAGGTGCGTTATAACAACGCTCCTCGCCGATGCGATGCTAAATGCAGTCCAAATTGGAAATGCACATAGGATAAATTCAGGAGAAACTAATCCAGACTCTCCACAATCTTTAGGGAAATTCAATTGTTTTTACTGGGATATATGATAATTCAGCTCTGTGAGATTTTCACCATTGGAGGAATTCCCATCTCTGATAATGTCAGAAAAGTATGCCTGAACGCCCATGCCCTCCAACGTTTGAGCCATGCACAGATGATAAAACTAACAGCTTCTGATGCGCTTCAGGGATTTACTGCCATTCACCTAGGTGCCATTGCCGCAACAGCCTGGATATTACTTCTCAATGCGATCGTTGGGTTTCAGCTACTCGATGACGGCACTCCAGTCTCAGTCGGGCTTCTCCTTGCTTCCGGAGCCATCCTGTTCATTGGCACCGGCTATATCGCTTTGGACACTGGCTTTCGATGGACCGGCCATTTCGACCCGAGTTTGAACGGTGAAAACCGAAATATAGGTCTCTATGTCCTATATCTGCTATTTCCACTGATTTGCTTGGTTACCTTCTTTGCGCTGGAAGCGGTATTAGTCCTGCGTATCCTTGGTGAATTAAGGCCTTTGTGTATGTTAACCCCCTTTTCCTACGCAATTGCCTTCGTGCGGCTTGAGACGGTTTCCTCCCCAATTGCTGACCGCGTCTTCTTTTTGCTATCTCAGTATACCTCAGCGCAGCCGGTCTGCTTTTTGCCATTGGTCAAATTTTCCAATTCGTCATCAGTACCCACCTTTGTCAAGCATCCAATGGGAAGATAAACGGATCCCTCTTTGCGACTCTCTTCACAGAACTTTCTGTGGGAGCAATATGGATATTCTGGAGTAGCATTACCGAAGACGACTGGCCTATGACTGTTGGAAGTGGTGGTTATAACTGAGAAGGAGAAAAAAAGAGAAACACCCAAACATTTAATGGTAATTGTAAAAGAGGGGGAGAAAGAAATGGGGAGAAAACAGGATCGGAAACACGAACAAGATTTTTCAAGCGTGTGATATGATGGGATGCAGTTAGGAACGGAACGCAAGAACGAAATGACGAGACCTATTGAAAATTCAGCACAGGAAAACGAAAGGACGACACGAAGGTTCAGAAATCCGTAGCAATGGACCACACACCATCCCAAAATGCCCGGCAGTACAGACCTTCCGATTGATGCGGGTGGAATGAATGAAAAAGCACAATATTATATTCATTCTCTCGAAAGCTATTTTGCCTTTCCATTTCTCTCATCCCACTCAGAAATCAGTGGTTGGTCGTGCCTCGCTTCCTTCCTTCTCTTCCGCTTATTCCGCCGGGCGCCCCGTTCTTCGTCTCTTGTCGTTACTTACATATCTCGCCTATCTTACTCGGTCCCCATTTATTTCTCTTGTGCATTCTGTCGCTATATTTTTGTCCCTTGTTATTATAAAAATTTCTTGCAATTTTCCTGTGTACCCCACCCTGGATACCAACTCTGCTATAGCAGGTTTCCGCCTCTGGAACTTCTTACTTATTTCCGTTGTTCTTGTGCTTTTTGTTATAACATTTTCTTTTCTTCCTCTCATTATGTCTTGAGCACTGGTTGTTATAACCATTCTTCTACCTTGTCTCGTTTGTCCAATGTTTATTCTATTTTTTCCTTTTTGTTTTCACTGGTTAATCTACGGCTTGATGTTTTGCAAAGATATCCCTACAAATTACCTCAAATACAAAGACGGCACGGCACGTCTGTCTTTTATCCTGCGATGTTCCCGCTTCACTCTTCTCTCTTTCCTTTACTTTGTAAACCCACTATTCGAAACCCATCTATCTAATCAATGTCTGGACCCACTTGCTCTCTTTCTATCCATCCATACATACATACATACATACTTGTGTTTCTGTCATAGTTATTTCCTGACTTTCATAATTAGTTAAACATTCCCCACTTCCGTATCTCCAGCTCGATAGCCCAGGGAGTCTGTATCTCATTTGGAGAATATATTATTATACACCGTTATTGGGAGATTGGAGATTGACAAGACATGGCTCAAAAATTCAAAGAGAGGAAGACTTCTTATCAGTTAGTGTGGCTTGTCATAGAACTGTTTTGACTACCGCTAAGATGGAATCTAATATGGCCGCATTACGGAAAGAAATGAAAGGACCGTTAGTGGAGATTTCGACGAATATCATAACCCCCATATCGTCATGGGGTACTTAACTGGAGTATTTCCTACGTAAACCCGTCCATAATTTGGTCTTATTGCCAATTACGTTACCAATCTCATCCTGCCTTCGTGAAAAGAAACACGCAAAGAGAGAAAGAAAATAAAAACAAAAGAAATAGTTAAAAAATAGAAGAGAAGATTAGAGCCAGCCTCGAATATGGGCCATCCAAACTTAGGGCTTAATTTTCCCTATTCGGCCTAGCATGAACCAACGTACAGTACATAATAAGCAAACCCCTTTTCCCTCCACCGCGGCGGCACTGCCTCTCTCACCTCACGAGTTACGCCTACCATCGTTATCCGTCCTGTGCGATGCATTGTCGAACGAGTCCTGGGGGTTCCAAACCACTTATTCGGGATCTGCCCAGCGTGTCTTGGGTCGCTCTCGAAAGGGGGAAGAAGGCCAGCTAGGGCTACTGCTCCTGCTACTAGGGCTGCTTACGCAGTAGATATGCGTGTGGAATTCGCCGATATCGAACCTCTGTGGGTTCATACAGTTGAGGATTGGGTGGTCTGAGCCGTTTTTGTTTTAAAAGGCTGTGTGTTTCTCTCGTACTTGATGCGTTTATGATTCAAGGCGATATATATATATATGTGTGTATATATATACTGCACACATACTATGGATCTCGAGATCCAAGGTTGGCACAAATTCCTTGAAGTTCCCAGTAAGTTCCCAGTTGACGCGGAGAGGTTGAGTATCGATTTCTTCTTGGAATACGCTACATATCTATTTCTATGTTTCTATCTATCTAGACGCATAGATGTTCCCCTTTTTGGAGGAGGGATCATGGTCTCGTCCAAACTATAAATTGGCTGTACGTTTTGCATGTTGATAATGACGACATGCAGACAACAAATCTTATTTCGTTTTCCAGCCCAAGTCTGCCAAACATTGAGACGTTCTGGCATTCCTTGAAACGCCGCAAGATGGGTATTGGGGAGACAATCCGAAGTTCTAGCCGATTATCTGAATTCCAGTTATGCAGAGACAATCTTCTATTGTGTTGGAATGGGACCACTGCTCGGTACACAGGTTGAGGAAGGGAGCGAAAAGACGGAAACATGCGATCCCTTCTGCTCTGATGTACACGATGCTACGTTGAGCGAGATATGAGGCGGACAACCGCCCATAATGCTGTTCACCCGTGATGAAAGAGATTTCACACACAAAACCACGCATTCATAAATTTATATGGGATGGATTTTCCAGATTACCCAGAAGCACGATACGCAATCCTCACAAAACGAGACAGCCAATCTCCCGCAAATCTGCATCGCATATGTCCCGAACATTTAATCCCAATAACGGTACAAGCGTATCTCTCATATTCAGATCAATAACCACCTTCATCGACTTATTATTATCCCACGCTGGTGCTGTTCCTTGTCCCCTTCAACACGGAAAAGAAATTGGAAAACCACGGGGATTGCTCCTCATCTTCGCCCCATTCAATCCTCCTTCCCTTTCTTACTGAAAACCCCAGCACCAACCCAATACTTCCAGTGCGTCCAGGCAGGCCACATGCATACCGTCTCGATATTATTACCCATGGGATCCAGTACGAAAGAGCCGTAGTAATACTTGTGATAATGCGGCCGGAGCCCAGGGGCGCCGTTACACTTACCACCGGCAGCCAAGGCCGCAGCGTGGAAGTCGTGGACGATGGCGCGGTCTGAGAAGGAATTGTGTAAGTCTTTTTTGCTCACGAGCATGGGATGGGATGGTTTGCCATATGTTGGAGCTAGACTGGTTGAACGGTTGAACTTTTATACAGGAAACAAAATCAAGCATACTCTTAGTATCAAACGCAACATGAATAGGTTTCCGTTTCAACCCGTTCTCATCTCTCGCATCATCGCTATCTTCTTCCCCTTCCACCCCGGTGATCCAGAAGTCTGGGTAATACGCCCCGAAGCCCACGACGTGCGGCGCCGGGCGCATGAGTTCCCTATACCCCAGTGGTGCCAGGGCAGCCCTGTAGAACGCAACGACTTCCTCAAAGCGGGAGGCGGGCACGCAAAAGCCCAGATGGGAGAGACCCATGGCGAGCCCTCTTTTGATTAATGGGGTTTTATTATATCGGATTCGGAGGGCTGTATAGCTATATATAATAATTTCATGCGGGTTACGATCCAGCTGAGGGAGGCTTTTTATTTTTATTTTTATTTTATTTTTATTTTTTTTATTTTTTATTTTTATTTATTTATTTTTTTTTTTTTTTGATCCTATAATTTAAGGGAAGCAAGGAGAAGCGTTAAATAATCATCGAGAGGTTCACCCACGATGACCCAACCTCACCCCGCCGTCACGTCAATTCTTGGATCGGACGTGTTCTGGACTTGGATCTTAGCCTTAGGCTGGGAGATGGCGAGGCAGCGACGAGGGATTTCGCGCCTGGCGCTTTTCTTGGTTTATGGTAGCCAAAGCTTTTGGCAGAAGGTTGGCCATCAGAAGCCTATCATGACTCAAACTTGAACGCCAGTCCGCTCGTATTTGGAAGTCCCCGCGTTGCTCGGCCGGGCCGGATTTGCTAAAAACTGCCTGTCTGGTTTCGCTAGCTCGGTGGCGTTCGTGATTGAAGGATTTTCAAAATCCATCGGGCGTTGGATCGAAGGCCAAGCAAGTTTTTTTTTAAGCTTGTCCCGATGAAGTCTATCCTTCTCGAGGAATGGACGAGCTGACATTCGAAGGAGATTGAAGCATAGCGGGTGAGTTCCACTGTTCATTGGATGGGTTCTGTACAGATGTGATCTCAATGGATGTTCTTTATTACAATTATTTTTCCAACCCATATTGCGGAGACATTGTCGTGATTTTACAAATGGAGAAAAACGTGAGAGCTCTTTCGTAAATAAACCCCATTTTCGTAACATTTTCCACACATGTTATTCTCTCCACCAAAGGAAGGAGAAAGCAATAAATGTGGCATCAGCAAAAAAGCCGTCGTATCCCTCGCATCCATATCGGAAAAAAAAAAAAAAAAAAATGAAGAGAAAGTAAAGTTAGGAAAAAAAAAAACCCGTTTGGCCTATTTTACGATCACTTCCCCATGATCCATTCATCATACAACGACACGTCTGCTCCGAACCAAAACCAAAGTCAAACCGAACCAACCCCTCAGGTCCCGCCATTCCCGAAATTGATATAAACTTAAGAGATGTCTGGGTACGTTTGAGTAAACAGAAGGAAGAAGAATTCCAGCCATTCGTCCATCCACCTGCCTCCGTAAAGTACACGATAGTTTCAAAGTACAACCAACGAATGGCATGAGACGAGGAGAAAATAAAAGAAAAATAAAAACCAATGGGTATGGGGGAAGGGTAATATGCAAGGGAATTCGGATTTTGTTGTTTGAAAACACATTATGGGTTTAAAACGAGTGGATTTCCTCATATACGAAAACCAGCCTCTTTTGAAGATGTAACTTTTTTTGTCATAATACGTAACACGATGTAGCGACACCCGGAACGCCAGCGACGATGGTGTATAGAGGTCATTTGGCAAAAGCACACCGTGTTAGAGAAATTAAACGAAATGTTAGACGATTCATGTGGATTTGGCAAAGAGATTGATGATCGAGTTGGTGTTTCGCAGATTGGTATTTAGCTTGTAGAATTTTACCCAACAGCGAACCCTCTGGTGTTCTGGAATAAGATGTATAGGTACATTACGCATGTTGTATTCTTGTGACCCAGGTCAGGTGTAGGGAGTGAAGGAAGGTGATCGAACGTTCTATCGACTCCAAACAGCCCCAATTCGAGTGACGAAGCCGAGGATTTCAAAACCAGCTTCCGTTTTTTCAATTTTCACTGGTTGTATTCTTGAAGGTCTCTAGCCCAGCGAGTTAAACGTGGAATCCGCCGCAAAACGGGGTCATGGGGAGTGTTTTCTGCAATGGCCATATAAAGAGCTTCAAGTCGTTGGATAAGAACAGTCATGATTTTCGGAGCAACTTCGTAGATCTCCGGGTCCTATTCTATTGTTAGAAACCGGGTGGTATGACAAATAATCACCTCTCAGAGTGTAGGACTATATATAAACGGACGCAAACGAAGGACTTACTCTAACTTTGACAGTCTGGAAAACACGCTCGAGCCAGTTGAGACGATCCATCACATTTGTTTCAAAAGACGATGTCACGGCGGCGCTAACGGAAAGGACAACCAGTGGTGACAAGTTAGAGAGGAACGAAGGATCAAGTTTGACAAACAGATTGCTGAAAAGGTCTGCTTGTTGAGATGATTGGATCCACTGCATAATTGAGAGAACAAATCAATAAACCGAAATATCGAATAAAAGGTCCGGTAGGGAAAACTTACTCTTATAGAACCTTCTTCATACCTTCCGGTATTCAGTAGTTCGCTGATTTCCTGCAGCTCAGCTTCTTCTGGGGATGGCTCTGGTGGAGGAACCCCTCGAACAGGATTCGTAGCAGACGACGTCTCAGGCAATTCTGCTTTAACTCCAAGCTGACGGTTGAGGTTTAAAATCTCTTTTTGGAATTGAGACTGGGCAGCTGCCATAGTCGAAACAGTCTCCGATAGGGAGCGGACAAGCATCGTGAGTTGATCGATTTTGGCACTGTCATTCTGCTGTCTGAGCTCATACTGCTTCATTTGGCCAACAAACTGCCGCTCAACTTCCTTTGTTATAATTCTCGCTTGTTGGATGGATTCATCTTTGAATGACGGGACGATCTTCTCGTGGAGAACCTTGGAGATATCTCTCTCAACACGATTAGAAAGGGAAGTAGAAATCAATTCAGAGATGCGGAGATGCATATTTTCATTAGACATTGCTCGCTGTACGGCAACAGGGAGAATTTCCCTGATAACGGGTGACGCTATCAAATCGAGTTGTCGGCTAAACCCTTCTTTTATTTTCTGGTCCATTGATTTTTCGGTAGATTCAATGAGTGCTGGAACTACCATCGACTGGACATTGTTGGCAATAATACGGGACAGGTTTTTCTCCACGTTGTCAGATAGGGTTGACGAGACAAGGCGTAACACTGCATCTTGCTTCGCTGTGGCTGCCTGTTCCTGCGAACGACGATCTTGGTCAAAACGAACGTACAGCGCATCGAGTTCGCGATTTAGGCATTTCGTAAACTCTGTAGAAACTGCTTTCTCGATTTTCTTTACTTCCTTGTTTAGGAAGTCAGACGACACTCCTATATTAATCGCCTCCGCCGGCCCATTATCAATAGAAGCCCCTGTGGCGAACGAACCGTGAGTTTCGGTTGCCAACACAGACTGCGGAATTTCAAGCTGACTCTGATCCGCCTCCTTATTCGAAATTTCTTTCGGCTTCCCGTTATCGGCTTTCTTCTTCTTCCGCTTCTCACTCTTGTCCGTAGAAGCGGCCGCTTGATCGTGTTGATCAGAAGTAGAGACAGAGTCGCCTGTCTTCTTCTTCGGTGGTTGCTTTGAAGGCGACTGGTTGCGGGACGATTCGACTCCAACAACTGATTCCTGTCCAGGGCCGGTTGCCTTTTTGGCCGGTTCCTTCCCTTTCGGAACACCCTTTGGAGCTACATCTCCGTTAGTCGACTGTTCATCGACTTGGGGAGGGAAGCTCTGCAGGGCATTAACTTCAATGAAGCCTTCTTTTAGGGAATCCACAGGGTCGATGATTTTGTTGTCGCTGCTCCACCCAAGGTCCGACTTCCTTATGTTAAGGCAGGTAACCCCAAGAGAGTGCATGACATACAACTCGAATAAGCCTGCTTCTTCGTCCATACCACGATGTGAAACAGACGGTCGAGTAAGTGGTAGGAGATCAAGGCTCCTAAGTTGCCCTTTGCTTCCAAAGGACAACTCGCGGATTCCACTCATACAAGCTGTTGACTCCGGTTTTGGCAACCTTTCATCCTTCTCGGCTACCCGCTGAATATACATGGCCTGCGACATCAGTGGGAGGGAGTATCTCGGAGCAGACAAGTGGACGAAGTAAATAGAATTGCGCGTAGGGTGTCCAACAACTATAATTCCGGAACCGGGATGATATGCAACACTGCATATGGCGTCGGACTCATTATCGTGGGGAAATTTCAATTCCTGGACTGCCTTTCCCAGCCCAATATCCCAGAGCTGAAGTGTGTGGTTCTGTTTCAAACCGACAAGAACATAGCGTAGAGCTGATGCTTTCGTATACGGCCGTAATTTGTCGATGAATAAAACAGACGTAGGCCACGACTTCTCCATAGGCGAACCAGTGACAAGTGTCAAAAGTGGCACTCGAATATCAGCTGGCAATTTCGAGGTATTGGCATGCGGAAAATCGGCTACATCACGAATATCCCAGAATCTCATCCTTCCAGTTTTGTCAAGTGAGACGATAACTGTATCATCGTCGCTGAAAATAAAGTCCTTCCCGGCCTTGCCAGTAGCGATCTTCACCGACTTTTCTTTGAAAAACTTTTCAGTATCGACTTCACGATGCGTTTTTGTTACGCCATACTTCGGAGATATGGCAAAATGAGGCCATACGATATGGATGAATTTGCCGCGACCGATTGCGAAAAATTCAGGATGACGGGAGCTCCGTCTAGCCCGTGTTTTCAGCTGACCACCAGAGGTATTTTCATCTGAGGAGGGAAATGGTGGAAAAATCAGGCTGTCGCGTTCCAACGCATCCTTCTCAAAGAGGTTGTTATCTGCCTTGGATATAGTCGCCCAGTAGACAGCACCGCTAACACCGATGCCCATGACAGCTTGCTCCTTCGCAGTTGAGGAGCCTGGTGCTGTGGTCGATAGAGAGACGTTGAAAACCCGATCATTGGTAGATCGGAATACTTGTCTATCTTGCCCATCGTCCTGCCGGACTATTCTCATGCCACCATTCTTCGCCAAAGCGTAAACGATGTAATCGGAAGTAGCCGAAGTGAGCGAACGATCCAATTGGTCGAAATCCTTCTTGAGACGGGCGATATCCATTATCCCATCACTCCGAAGTGAGAAGATGTTTTCAGTATTTCCCTTCCAGGTGATCGACATGAACGGCTTCAACGGAAAATTATACACAGGGATAACTCGTTCAGTCTCGGATTCCCACGAGTCCACAATAGCACCATTAGTATCGTCGGCAGACTCCTTTAAGTTTGAGGCAACCGGAGGTGAGCTCTTGGGTGTAACTTCAATGCTAATATCTTTCTCCAGCTCTTCCTGAGCATCAAGGGCAGTCTGTTCAAATTTCTCCGCCAGTGCGTTCAAAACTGCCTTAGAACTTTCCTCCTCGACTTCTTGTTTAATGTGGGCAACTTCTTCAGCGGCAACCCTCGCTAAGGCATCCTCGACTTCTTTATCAACCTGTCCAGCAACCTCCCCAAGTGCCTCAGGAACGGTTTCCTTTTTGATTTTCACCTTTTTCTGATCAGGACCCATGGACTCTTCAGAGGCATCCGGACCGGGCGTAATTACCGCGTTGTCGTCCGTTTCCAAGGGCGAGGACGAAACAGGAATGTCCCCGGATGGCTCTGACCGTTTTCGCTGGCCATTAACCTGAATGAGACCTGGTACCCCATTTTTCTTTGCGTTAGCGATATCAGGTGCAGGGCTTGCTCCAGGTAGCGCTCGTGACCGGCTTCCTTGGGGCGTTCGGTTGCGGGGAGATGCCGCCGCAAGTTGTTCGAAAGGATTAACGTAAGTGAAAATAGAATCCTTTCGCTGTGTATGGATAGGGGGCTCAAAGGGAGTGGTTTCACGACTTTCGCCCGACCCGAATAATCTCATTGGCGACGCTCTACGTTCCTCTGGAAACTTAGGCCCCGCATCAGCAGAACGCTCTCGGGAAGTAGCAGAAGCTTCAGATGATCTCGTACCGGCCACCGCAGTTACGGACTGCTCCGACTGAGACGTCTGGGGTTTGGAGAGATTTAATAGCTTCAAGAGCATATCTTGGGCATTGTCGGCAGGAGGTGATGTTGTAACTGGCCGATCGGAAGGTTGGGCAGCAGCAAGACCACTGGACATTAACCCAGTAGCAGCAGATGTGGAGGTAGTTGGTTTCCCCATGAACGAAGCCACGATATCAGACGCAGATATTCCCCTTCCATGGCCGCCTTGGGTGGTACCAACAGGCGCATCATCTTGTGGTTCTTCAGGAGCGACCGTTTCCGCTATGGATTTTTTTGGAGCGGATACATTCTGCGAAGCCGGGCTGAACTTGAGCAAGCTCAACAAATTGGCAGTGCGATCCGCGTTCAGTGACTGCTGCTGCGGGCTCTGAGTGTTATTACGTGGCGTCTGAACGTTGGGACTGATGACATCAGAAGCGTGATGTGGAGGCGTGCCCGTATACTGCGGGCTGTAGAGCGGCGACGACACAGTAGCTTGGAACAAGCCGGTTGAAGATGGAAAAGGAAATTCACCCGATGAAGAGCCATTATGGCGATGGCTCTGAGCTTCGGAACTCGGGAGGTTGGATGCATTGTTTGGCGAAGGCCTTGGCTTGATATTGGCAAACAGAGCCTGAAGGTCTGCTGGAGTGGACATTTCTGCCACAACCGCCCCGAAAGGTGAGCTCCAGGACTCTTGAAAACAGGATTAAAAAGGACAGGCCAAAAGCAAATCGTAAGCTGAAGCTCTAATAAGCGAAGAAACGGAAGAACGACACAAAAGAAAGGAGGAAATGAGAATGGTATCAACGAAGCACTGGAGCAGGTCGAGACAACCGAGTATTTGCTGAGAGGTTGAGGTGTCGAAATCGAGTGCAGGCTTGGCGGCGAAGCGGCTGCTGACTCATCGGGCTTTGGCTGCTTTCTTCTTTGGGATTTGGGAGGAGGAGGTCGCACAAGTTGCCGAGTTCGTTGAGGCGGGCGGTTTTCACAACGCGCATACAATTGCCTCGACCGGAAAATTATACAGCAGATGTGTCGGTTTTTTGAGCAGAGCTTTGCCCTTCAACTCCCTGGAGATTAATTCGTTTAGAGTTGAGAGGACATTTGGATGACATCATCCGGAAACAGTCTGGAAATGCTGAACCAGGTGTCAAGCCTGATTACACAAAACTATAGTTCATATTATGTTGGGTTATTAAATGAATTTATGAATTTAAATCTAGCACCTTCTTTTTTTTTTTTTTTTTTTTTTTTTTTTTTTTTTTGGATCACTAAGTTAGTTTTTGAAGAAGCGACTTTTGTAAGATGAAATGTATATCTCCATACTATATCAATATAATAGTACTACACTGGGACAAAGTGATTGGGGATGTCCAACCAGATGTATTACTAATTGTTGTAGCGTTATGGTGGGTGCGTTTTAGATATGGCGCCGTTGGTAGCTCAAAGCTACGCTAAGGTAGCTGTGGGTTCAAATTTTTCCACGCATGTCGAGTTATCCTGCCAAAAATCCTTCCTCATTCCGATATTTTGCGTCCTAGTCCACTCCTTAGCCCGCCAAGGCCGGATTATTAATGCCAGTAACCTCCAATATTCTGCGAGTGAAAGGACAACCCAAACAGCGATCGGGCTACGATGGTCGCCTTCTTGCCCGAGTCAAACCCCTCTATGTCACATCTGATAAACGTTCCTATTGAGATCGCCGTTCCGCTTCCTGTCTGGCAGTATCCGACTACATCCTATCACTCACTGAACAATGTTCTGTCTCAGAAGGTAGAGTCTCAAGAGGGTCACACATCAGTTGTCCATATTATCCTTCTTTGTCCTTCATTTGTTGATTTGTTAATAACCCCCCTCCCCCCCTTTTCTTTTTCCGGTTTTTTTTCTTGATGAAGAAGATTAAAAAAATGTTAACTAACTGGAATGCTTTCTCCAGTTGGCTGCCTCTCCTTTTCATCCCCACGAACGCCAGCCCCTTATTCATCCTCTCCTTCATAACCCTCACATACCTCCTCCACCGACCATGCATCTACTGCTCTGCTCTCCTTCTGGTTCTCTTCCTCTCCTCATGCCACTGGTCAGATCGCTGTTTCTTCGATTTCAGAGGTGACTGGTTTGCCCCTCGCTTCTCCACTCCAACCTCCTCCAAACCAGAACATTCCGCATCCGGATTGACCGAATATGTCCTGGAGACCGTGAACACCACGGCCACAGCGTTGGCTGGCGCTGCAGTCGATGAGATGAAGAAACATTTCGCTCCTAATAATGGGACCGGGGCGGAGGGCGATTCGCGTTTGGAATGGACGGGTATCGGTCTGGAATGGCTGCGGAACCTCCTTGGACGGAGGGAGTGGACGTTGCCGTGCGTCGATGTGAAGGTCAGGCTTTGACCCATGAGAGTAATTTTGCATCATTCGAAAAGCTGGAGTTGTGGTCGTTTTGCCTCCTTTTTTTTTTTTTTTTTATCATTTTATGCTGTGTTCACGAGTGATAGGGCTCAGCTATTTTATTTTAAAGTTGCATTTTCTTTTCTTTTTCTTTTCCTTTTTGGGCCCTGTCGTATAACTATCAACGCCGGAAGGACAAAGCGTCATTGTTGATGCTCGGGAGGGGGCATTTGGATATATAGCACTCGATATGGCATTGTATATTTACCCACGCATAACTGCTTCTTGCCTTAATGGTAGCAAACTTTTACTAGCCTAAATTACCTGTTTAATCCCCCCTTTCCCTTTGCTTTGATCGAGTACGGTGTTTAATCTCCCCAAGCCTGAGAAATGTTGGGCTGATACCTGTCTGTCGGGGCTCACTAGTTTCCTCAGATACTACTAGTATTATAAGCGTGTGGGCTGGTGGGCCTGGGAGAAAATGTCCTTGTTCGCTTGATCAGTGTTTATTTTCTCCTACATAGATTTTAAGTGCTGGACAGGGCAGCCCGACCCGAATCCCTGGGCCATGTCCTGTTTAAACCTTGAATCCTTTCAAGGCAGAAAGAATACCATTTCCCCC